ACCGGTACGTGGAAACGCGGAAACGCAGAAACGGGTACGGGGATACGTCAAAACCATTTAATATCCTATGATGTCTACCCATTCATTGCATTGAAGCAATTTCTTTTTTTCAAGATACTTAGTAATAAATTCATAATATTTCTCATATACATTAATGAATCTCGAAATATAAATGTAGTCAATAAGTCATTAATTTAAAATGAGAAATAAGTCAAACAACTACAATCTTGAAATTAAAAGTGCAAGTACCCAATTCAGAGTATGAGTTAATGACTTAATTCGGATATAGCCATATAGGCCCATTATTTGATTATCAAGTAAAATGTAGTTTTAGATTTTCATTTTTTTTAGAATTTTATTAAGTAAATTTTGGGATTTTTTTTTAAAAAAAAAGTTGATACGGGTATCCGTCAGGATACGAGTATCGGAAACTTTCAAAAAATTACAAAAAAAAATGAAAACTTTTAAAAATTGCAGATACGACCCGGGAACGTACGGTACAAGTATCCTAGAGTATCGGATACGGAAACGTATCGGATACGCCGATACGCTACCTTAGGGAAGTATCGGTGATTCAGCGGTAACCTCTCGCCTCTTGACTTCTTCCGCCTCCCGCATCCCGTTGTCCAAGTGCCAGTTTGCCTACCGCTATTCAATTCCATCCACCTGTTACTGCCATCCTGCCACATGTCGTCGCTTTCCAGCTGCGTGCCACCATCGTCCAACCTCATTCTCATCTTCAACGTACTATATGTGATGATAAGATTGGAACATTTATGATAAGATTGGAACACCGATTTATATGACGATCATAATATGTTTACTAATTTTTCTCACTTTAGATGAAGAAATTCATTAATATTACTCTTTAAAATGTGTGGACCAAAATATTACGTAGTACTCTCTCCGATCCGTCCTATACAGAGGTTCCCGATATGATTTGGTTTATGATGCTTGACTGCAGATAAATCAACTTGATCCCTATTCACACTCTAATTATTTTTAGTAAATAAAATTACATATTCAGAAACTACATTAAAGCGACTACAAAACTTGATAAAAATTTGATATATAAAGCAAAATATTAAGAATGATTTAAGTTGACTATGTGAATAGTGATTTGGAACCTTTCAATGGGACAGAGGTAGTAACTATTTTAATGACTATAATTGTGTTCTTATTTACATCGCAGTAATTACATGTAAGTTACTACGATGTAAAGTTTGAACACAATTATAGTGACTAATACGGAGTAATAGTTACTAAGTAAAGTTTTTGCTCGTGACCTTTTTTTAGCAATAATTAAAGAAGGCGAAATTCACAAGAATAATCCATACTTGTATAGATTCTACAATAATAATTCATACTTAGAGTGTCTAAAATATAATCCGTACTAACAATAGTGTCCATAAGAATAAAATAATATTAATTCAAATTAATGCTCATTTAATATTCTCAACCCCTACTTCCACTTTCTCATTCATCGCTCTTCGTCTCGAGGAAGGGAAAAGTGATATTAAGTGCTGGAAGTATTAAACGGGCATTAATTTGAATTCACCCAATTTATTCTTATGAACACCGTTGCTAGTTCAGATTATTTTTGTAGACACTCTCAGTAGGGATTATTATTGTAGAATCCCTAACAATACGGATTATTCTTGTGAATTTCGCCTTTAAAGAAAACCCTCAATTTAAATTAAAGAATGAATGGTGCTAGTATTAGTTTTTATCGCACACAATATTATTTAGTTTAACCGTTTGGTACTAATTCAATATATGTATGTAGGTGCATAAAGTGTATTGAAAAATATTCAAGTAAGATTAATAAAATATATATGGGTACCCACCGGACATTGGGGGTGGACGCCGTGCGGGGTAAAGAGTAAAGGGGAGGATGGGGAACTTTGCACACATGGGATCGAGGGGTGAAAGATGCTTCTTACTCCATACCTAATAATATGTACCGCGTTATTATAGATATTTAAATACAAGTAGTAAGGCCATATCCAACCGCTTGCATCATTTTTTGTTGGAAAAATGTGTGAAAAATTGCATTAAATGGCTATTTTGGGGCAATTTTTTGAGTGGGGTCCACTTCCGATTTGGGTCGAGTCAAAGTGGTTTCGGATTGTCCTTGTTAAGGGCTACAATTCGATATATGGTACGCTCAAAACGGATAACGGGTGAATGAGAAATCGCTTTTCGAAGTTTACCCGTTAGAATGGAAAAACTGGGAAAAAGGATGGGTTTCTAGTGTTAATTTCCCACACCGGAAAACCCAAGGGATTTGCAACCCTTTATAAAGGGACTCCCCCCTTAAGGAGTTAAGATTCCTTAGGGTAGAGGCTCTCTCCACGCGCGCGGGGGGGGGGGGGGGGGGTGCAAATCAAATCCCGAAATCGGAGAAGAAAAACCGCGACTTGCGTGCGCGGGCGACCTGCGGACACGAATGTCGTCCAAAAATCTATCTCTCAAGAGATACGCAGAGTTGGGGGTACTCTGATGGCCGCCCATCAGAGTTGGGGGTACTCTGATGGCCGCGGATCAGAGTTGGCCTCCGATCAGAACCCCTCCCGGGGAGTTCTGATGGAGGTCTTCTCTCGCACTTCTGAAACGTTACAACAATTAATGCCCAACGTTCTTATCTTTTAATGCAGCGTTAAATGGACAGTTCATGGACGATTCAATGCCCAACAGACTGGTCATTGATGTCCAACGTTCAGGTCCATTAATTCACTATTTTCATACAACAAATCCTCCTATATAATGGCTGGCAGGTGGTTTGCAACAACACACGTTCTTACACGAATCCATACACGTTTTAGCTCTAAAAACACACTGCTAGCATTCTGAAAAATTCCTCTGTGTTCATACTGTGTTCTCGTTCGCTGGAACTCTTGTTTGTGTGCTCAAACATTAGTTCGTAGTCATCGTATCCTGGGAAAACGATTGTTGCAACGCTCCTAGCACCGTGGGAGGCAACAAATACGTTTTAAGGACATCGTGCGTAGCACGAGCTTTGGGTACTATAACAGCCAAAACTTTGGGTACTTTTGCAAAAAGAAGAAAAGAATAGAATGGAAGATCAGCGCATCCCACCTTTGCACCAAATATGGCGTAAACTATCAAGCCCTCCACCATTTTAGTGAAATGGGGTAGGATTTGGTGCAACTATTGGAGCAAAAAATAGCAATTCCCCTATTTTGGTGGGGGTTTTGGTGATGGTTGGAGATGGCCTAAGAGATCATAAAAGACTACACAAAATAATTATAAAGAATGAAAAAGTAATAAACAAAGAGGGTAGAAGAGAGGAAAGTCGTAAAAGAAGAGACAAAGAAAAAGAAAAAAGAGAACAAGACTTTGAAATTTGAATGCTTGACTTTGATTTTATTTTGCTAAGATAGTAAAGTGTTATAGCCTTATAGGTTATGCTGAGGGGTGAAGTCGTGAAATTCTATATTTGGGGTAGTAAATTTGGAAATAGGGTATTTTCTGAGAATGCGGGAAAAGTCAACATCTAGTGCCAAAATACGGGAGTTTTGCTAAGGTTTCTAAGAATACGTGAATTGAAAATGGCAATTCCAAATAGGATTAGCCAATTAGGGTTTTCTTTTAGTGATTGTACTATTCAATGTCATTTCCGAGCCAACAAGGAGTTTTTTATAAAGCCATCTGGATTCACCATTTCCAAATAGATTTTTTTTTTAAAGTTTTTTAGTGTTCTTTAATTTTTGGCTAAAGGGTCAAATAGGTCCTTGAACTAATTTAAAGTGTTCAATTAGCCCCTTATATAGGAGGTTCTGTCCGGCCGTTGCCAATTGGGGCGGTTCCGGTGGAATATTTTGATGAAATTTTTTTAGCATCTTCTTCATTAAGTCTAGTTTCTCCATACAAAATTTCAGCTAAAAATTCAACCGGGAAAGCAGTCAAATGATTTTTTGAAGATAACTGCGCAGTAAAACAGCGCAGTACATTTCGGAAAATCATTTGACTGTCTTCCCGATTTAATTTTTAGATGAAATTTGATATGGATAAACTAGACTTAATGAAAAAGATGCTCAAAAAATTTCATCAAAAAGTTCAACCGGTAACCTCCCCAATTGGCGATGGCCGGACTGAACCTCCTATATAAGGGGCTAATTGAACACTTTAAGTTACTTCAAGGGACTATTTGACCCTTTAGCCTTGTGATTTTTTAAACACTTACCAATTACCATTTCCTAAAAACAATCTACTGTGAAAGCAACAGAATTTATTAAATGGAATTGATATTTAAATATGTAATTATTTTATTGTCTTAACAACAACGGAAAAAAAATAAATGTAGTGAAAAATTAATTTATCAACAAATGGCTACTAAGGATAAATGTTTTTACTTGGACCGATTTCAGTCCCAGACCAGACCAGACAAGATTTAAACAGATCAGACCAGACCAGACTTAAACAAACCAAACCAGATCAGACTAGACCAAACTTTCGTAATTATAAAATACACAGAGTCCAGCCATTTACCAGACCAGACCAGTTCAGATAGACTAGCTGTCTAAAAATGTAATAAATGATTAATATAGTGGACTACTCGTATAGATGAATTTTATCTGATGAATTTTTATCAGATGAGTTTTACCTGATTAAATTTTATGTCATTTATTTTTTTACATTTTATTATAGATGTGTCAGATCTGATTAAAATGTATTTACTTAAAATGCAACTCTGTAGATTTTTTTGGTTTTTTCACATTCGGAAATGAGTTGAATGACATGGATTGAATTTCTTTTTTATTTTAAATAGGGATTCCGATAAATAAAAACACATTTAATGGGATTTGGAAATGGGGATTCCAAATGGGATTTAAAAAACAAACATTCAACGGGATTTCGAAAAGGTGATTCTGAATTGGTGCTATTTGAAATCTGACCCTACCCCACTTGGAATTGCCAATTCTAAGTCCCTTGTTTTTGTACACACCTATATATACACACTCAAACTCTTAAACACTCTCCAACTATTCTCTTGCTTCAATTAATTGCCCATTCTCTTGCTTCAATTAATTGCCCAACACTCATTGCTGATTTGCATTTTCATGATGGTGTTTTACTATAAACTTATTGATGTACTACTTATCTTTTCTGTATTATCAGTCAACATTGCAAACTGCAAGGTATTTTTTAATCTATATATGCTTTCATTAATTTATTTGGATAACATTTGGTTAGCAAATTGCTTGTTTTGTAAATAATTTGGGTTTGACTAATGCTTTCGACATTTTTAGCACTGCCCATTAAATGGACACTGTAAAGAAGGGACTCATTGTTTTGCATGCATTCCGGGGGGTGAATTAATACCCGAATGTGTTAGATCTGCCGCTACAAATCCGTTCACCCTACTTGTAAGTCAAACTAATTAAATTCCTGATAGGAGTAGAGATATATATGCATTTGCTTACAAAGTTATGTACTTTTTATAAATGATACAAGTAATATATTCATGTTATATCTTACAAGCACTGGGAGACTGGGAATGGACTTCATACAGTTTTTTCTATAATAATGTTACTTAACTAACATACAGCCAAATTGATCTCTTTATGGATCACCTCTTCCAAGTTCCACCGCTTCTACAAAATTTAATTTCATAATAAAATGTGATTAACATAGTACGGAGTAATATATTTCTATAAAAAAACAGGGTAATATATTTGAAAAAAGGATAATTTTTTTCATCAGATTTTCATCTGACTAATGTCTAATGTATATCCTATTGTCACGAAAGAGGTCAGGGTGATTGCTGGAAAAGTTTTTAGAGACTTGTGCTGGCCGATTTGAAGAAAAAAAATAAAGAAAAAATCAACAAAATTTTGCCTCGGCTTTTCCTGACGGAGGCTAGGCAGGTGTGGGGGGCAGGGACAGAGAGTGTATAAATTATTATGAAAAAAAATGGATTTATTAAACAAAATGTTAGACATATCATTTGGAAAAGGAAAAACCAATCACCTCTTGTATTTGACAAAGCTATGGGTAATTGGGTATTATATGCGTCCTTTTCCTTTTATTAATCTCCATAAAATACTTGATGTATCTATTTATGAGTAAAGCTAAGGGGTTACAATTACCTTCTTTTTATATAAACTTGCGCGAAAACTAATGAATAACACAATAAATAGAGGCAGTAATACACTATCCCTAACATATGGGAGAATATGTGTATGGTAAAACATGAACTATAGGACTGGTGAGTTGAAAGTATGACTCTAAGTCTCTAAATGTCATAAACTGTCGATCCAGGTATGAAGTCCATGATAATTAATAAATTTTCATTCAAACTAAATTCTTTATTTTTATTTATTTGTTATTGGCAGAATAACTCTCTACCATTTAACAAATATGCGTTCTTGACTACCCATAACGCATTTGCAATTACCGGCGTGCTATCTCATAATGGTGTTCCCAATGTGGCTCCCAGAAATCAAGAAGACAGTGTCGCTCAGCAGCTCAATGTATGCTTTTCATTTTCAGCTCAAGTTCCATTATTTCCTAAATTAATATGCTTAATTATTGTATATGGTTCTCCCTATTTCATTTTGACTACTGGATTGAAAAGTATATGTCATGGACATAAGCAATAGTAGGATCAGTTATCCGAAAAATAAATGAAATAGTTTACCCAAAAAATTAAGGTGCCCTAAGTTCCACGCTATCATAGTCATAGTGTAGGTTTTGCCGAGAGTAATTCAACTTTATGAGCCCGTTTAGCAACACTACTTTTCAGCTTATCAGGCTTATCAATCAACATTTTCACCAAATAAATATTTTTTGCTTTCGTGCGTTGAATTTCGTAATAAGCAGAAAAAGTAAGGTTGTGGTTACTTTTCTGGTTGTATTGGCTGAGGTTACTGTAAATGACCATTTTAGCTATTTTTACATATAATTTTAAAACTATTTTATAATAAAATATATTTTAAAAATAATTTTTTCTTAAATCAGCAGAATCAGCCAATGCAACCACTTCAGCCAGAACTTCATAAATTTCAGCAGAATCAGCCACATCAGCCAATTTTTGTGCTACCAAACGGGCTCTTTATTTAGGATGTCTTTATTTAGATTGAGAGCCTGTTTGGTTGGACGATAATTGGTTGTTTTGGCTGATTATGCTGAAATTTATGAAGCTCTGACTGAAGTGGCTGCATTGGCTGATTCAACTGAGTTAAGAAAAAATTATTTATAAAATATATTTTATTAATAAAATAAAGAAAAATTATATGTAAAATAGCTAAAATGGTCATATACGGTAATTTCAACCAATACAGCCGGAAAAGTAACTCCAATCTTACTTTTTCTGCTTACTACACAATTCAGCGCGCGAAAGCAAAAATTACGTGTTTGATGGAAAAGTTGGCTGATAAGCCTGATAAGCGAAAAACAGTGTTGCCAAACGGCCTCTGAAGTTTTTCTCATTTTATTTTGTCTAATCTAAATTAATTCGGTGTGGTTTGACATGTGTGTGTGTCTACATGTATTTTACAAATCTATTCTATTTTCTATTTATATTATTATATTATATATAAGAAAAGAATAGGCTCATTAAAATACATTTTTACCCTTAATGAATCTTAGGTGTCTAGTACTCCTTAATTCTCTCATTTGTTATAGCAATGCCACGTGGCCTTTTACTTCAAATTACCCAACTTCTCCAATGGAATAGAAAGGGAGCAGCCGTAATAGATAAAATTGGTGGGGCTCAAGCTATAAGAAACCCCAATTTTCTTTAAAGTGTTATAATTGTTTCATTTTTAATCCCATTTTTACAAAAAACATATCAAAATTCATAAATTTTTATGATCTTTTATATGATATCAATATTGAATATATAAAAATATAATTTATTAACGGTCTCTATAACTATGCTTAAAATTATTTATAGAAAATTTTAGATCTATTTTGCTCTCTGAATTAAGGAAGTTATTGTAAGTGATCATTTTTAGCTACATTTGATATAATATTTTTCTTTAAAGTGTTATAACTTATTCATTTTTAATCTAATTTCTATATTTATGCTTAAAATTCAGATAATGTTTTTCTTTATTTAATTAATAAAATTAATTTAAATTAAATTTATCCATACACCAGAAGATTCAACTAATTCAACCTCTTCTCTCAGAATTTCATCCATTTCAACAGATTCAACTAATTTCAGTACTTCTAAACGGTCTCTAAAATTAAAATCAGATCATGAAAGGAAAAATCTAAAAATATTAAAATTTATTTAAGAAAACCTTCTTAAAGTATTTTATAATTTGATGTGCACTGGTTTGATATATAAAAATCCGCAAATGAAAATCTAATTAGTTCAAATAAAAAAATTCGAGTAGGTCTATTTTGTTCTGTTTTGAGTTGGTCTAAATGGAAGACAATGAATGATTTGAATTCTTCAACTCTACAATTAATGAAACTCTAATGTTATTTTCATTTTCTATTATACTCCCTTCATTAAACTATAAAACTATTACAAACCATATTTCTTCCTGTTATAATGTCACTCGAGAATATAAAAAATTAGCAAATTGAAATGATAAACACATCGAGTGCTAATAAAAAAGCTTCTAAATTTATTTCAATTCATTATTCTTTATGTTTAAGGAAAAAGAGGCAAATATGAAAATATATATTCATCATTTTTGGTTTTTTTAAGTGCTTTGATCTATTTAAGTTTAGTTTTATTAAAAAAAAATTGATTTATTTGGCTCAAATTACTGTACATAATAATTTTTAACAACTTTTCCTATAATCTTTTATTTACTTCATTAATAATATGTAATTTGAACTAAATTCATCCATAAATCAAAAGAAACAATTTCAATCAATTCAGTCACTTCTGTCAAATTTTCATCAATTTCAAGGAATCGGGTGAAGTAGCCAATTTCAGTGTTACTTAACTTATTCCAAATATCAAAATTAGAACATGAAAGTAACAATAGATCAGTGGCTAATAAAAAGGGAGTTTTTGAAAAAAAATCTATTAAAACTAAATAAATGAGAATCTTAAAGAATCAGATTTCATTAAAAATCAACATGCTGAAATAATGTCGTTATAATAGTAATATGTAAGTGTGGTTCAATGTTACAAAAAAAAAAGTGTGGTTCAAAAATACAAGTATACTTGAATTTGGTTATTATGTGGACTTCCAATTGTGTACATGCAAACAAGATAGACTTACAAAAGAGTTTCAAATGATTCCCAAAGTAGCAATTGGCTAAGATTCATTTATATTTTCTTTACTCAACCACAACCTCAAGTTTTCAATTTATTCCCAACCACAACCACAACTCCGATTCAAGTCAAATCGAGAAGAATCTTATGGGACTAAGGGTGTATCATCATCACCACCACCACCACCACCATCATCATCATCCATATCATCACCATCATTATTATTGTTGTTGTTGTTGTCGTTATTGTTATGGTTGTTGGTGTTGGTGTTATTAATATTATTATTATTATTATCGATGAATCAAATCACCTTTAAAAGTAAAAAGAGTGAGATAGACTTACGAAAGAGTTTCAAATGATTTCTGAATAATATCTATATAATATGTAACTGACTCAAAAATATAAATTTACTTGAATTTGGTTACTATTGTGGACTTCCGATACGATACATACAAACGAGATAGACTCATGAGCACCCTCTATTGATCAAATATTATTCATGAAAAGATCTCCATAATGAACATAGTGATAGAAATTAAAGAGTATCATATAGTGCCTTGACTTCAAATGATTTTTTAAAATCATGTCCATACTATCACAGTTTTGGGTGAGAGAAAATCAAAGATGATTTATCAATAAATGACGAAATGATATGGTTCTTACAGAAAAATTATTTGTTCACGAGACAATGGACCATGAATGAAGCACTAGAGTAGATTATCAACTCAAATATTACGTAAGAAGCTAAATGAAAATAAACTTGCGAATCAAAAGTTCACACTATTCATGATTGCATAATAGGAGTTCTTGCAATCGAAAAGGTATACTCTGTATGAAAAAACTCAAAAAACTAACAATGTAATGGTGGAAAGTTCATCAAAATGGAATTATGTAACCAAGTATTGAAAATGTGGAAGACGATGAAACAAAATTGTTATTAGGTGAATCATTACACATTTGTGGAAGATGTGGGATAGATTTCTCTCTTGTATATAATGTTTTTAGGTATAAGATAAGTTGGATGAGAATTGAGCGGAATAAGTTTTTCTCTCATATGTAGTGTTTTTAGGTATAAGATAAGTTGGCTAACACTTGAGCAGGATAACTTTGTCTCTCATTTGTAGTGCTTTTCAGTAAGATATTAAGATAAGTCAATTAACTAACAATCGAGCACAAAAATTTGTTCTTTCATATGTGGTGCTTTTAGATATAAGAAAGATTAAGCCATAAACCGTCTTAACAATTGAACAAGATATTTCTCTCTCTCTCAATAAGCAGTGATTTTAACTATAACATAATCCAACGAACAATTGAGAGAGAGGATTTTTTGTATCATATATAGTGCTTTTGGGTATAAGACAAGCCGGCTAACAATTGAGCGGGGGAATTTTTTTCTCATATGTACTACTTTTAGTTATTAGAAGATAAACTTGCTAACAATTGAGCGAAAGAACTTTATCTCTCATATACATTTTTTTTAGGTATAAAATAATCCAGCTAACAATTGAACGTAATAATTTCTCTCCCTCATATGTAGTGTTTTTAGGTATGAGGTAAGTCAGCTAACAATTGAGCTCGAAAACTTTCTCTCTCATATGTAAGAGTTTTAGATAATAAAAAAAGATAAGCTTACTAATAATTGAGTGAGATCAGAAGATTTTTTCTTTCATATGTAGTGTTTTTAAGTATTAGAAGACAAGATTGCTAACAATTGAGAAGGAGAATTGAGCGGGAGAATTTTATTGCTCATATGTAGTCTTTTTAGGTATTACATAGTAGAAGATAAGCTTGCTAACCATTGAGCAGAATAACTTTCTCCCTCATATGTAGTTTTAAGTATAAGATAAGAAGACTAAACAATTGAGCAGGATAACTTTATCTCTCATATGTAGTATTTTTAGGCATAAGAAGCTAAGAAGATAAACTTGCAAGCAATTGAGTGAGAGAACTTTCACTCTTACGAGTAGTTCTTAAGTACTCCGTATATAAGATAATCCAGTTAACTGTTGAGCGTGAAAATTTACCCTTCCATATGTAGTGCTTTTAGGTATAACATAAGTTGACTAATAATTGAACGAGAAAAGTTTCTCTCTCATATGTAGTCTATTTAGATATGACAAGATAAGCTTGCTTGCTAATAATTAAGCGAAAATTTTCTCTCTCTCATATATAGTGTTTTTACTTATAAGAAGATAAAGTTGCTAACAATTGAGCTGAGATATCATCATATATGTAGTTCTTTGTAGTATTAGATAAGTCGGCTAACAATTAAAGAACATATTTGTTTCTCTCACCCATAGTGCTTTTAGGTATAAGGTAAGATAATCCGGCTAACAATTGAGTGAAAGATTTCTTTCTCATATGTAATTGTTTTAGATATAACAAGGTAAGCCGACTAAGAATCAGAGTAATTTTCTCTCACATATGTTAGCACGAATTTACTAATGAATGGAAAGTTATTATTTAACTAATATTCATTATTGATTTTAATATTTATTGTATTCACTTAAACTTTACGTCACTCACTTATTGTACTCACTTTTTTAGAATTATTATTTAATTTTAAAATTAATCTAATCATGGAAATGAATAAGTAGCAAATTCTAATGAGTAGTGTCAATTAATTTTTCCTAATATACTCTTCATTGAATATATATTTTAAGGTATTAGCTAATTGAATTACTATTTTTTCGAAAATGTAGAATCCAAAAAAGTTGTTTTTATTTTAATATATAATTAGATCATGAGTAAAAAAATATATGCACCAACCGCTCTATCCCGTGCGTATGCACGGGTACTATACTAGTAGTCCAAGTAAAATTATTCTTCTTTTCTGAAGTGTTGTTGTTTTGTTATTCCTCTTCATATTCTTAAAATCTTAATAAAGTAAAAGAATGCAGAAATATTTAGGTGATGCTTACTAACGGAAGGACTTTCTGTTATCTAAAATATTTGGAAAATACATACTCCTCCGTCTCATTTGACCTGTTCTACTTTCCTTTTTGAGTTGTCCCAAAATAAGTGTCTCATTTCCTTTTTTGGAAAGAAATATGTGGTCTACACAGTTTCACTTTATTATACTTCAAACTTCAACCACAACTTTTACTTTTTCAACCACTTCATTAATAATCATGCCAAGTCAAACTAAGACACATAAAATGGGACCGAGGTAGTAACAAAAAAGAGGCTTTTCAAAAATATTATTGAAATGAAACTTCTTTTTTAAAAGAAATCATCAAACTATATTAATGCAAACAATTGTTCGCTCTTACAGTTAAGGAATCGTTGTTGCCCACTTGCCCCCTACCCGGTTTTCGATTGAAGGCGCCTCCTTTCCTTTCTTTCTTTATCACCTAGAGGCTAGAGTCCCCTTATTTAAAACTCCATCATCTATCTTCTAAAAAACTTCATCTAGACTCACTAAAAGTCCTGTGATTAGACATTGAGACGGTCACACTCAAAGAAGCAACGTGAATTATTGCTGACTTTCAAATGGACAACACATATCAAGTTCATATAGACCCCTAAGGTCACAGTACGTACTCTTCCCCACTTCACTACACTCATAGTAGCAAAAAGTCCTCTCAGTCCCTGATTAAACATATAAAAGTTTACCCAAATCTGAGCGAAACTTTTTGATAAATATGATGCAGCTTCAAAGTAAATAAAGGCCTTATACATCCGACGAACCCGAAACCCCCGTTTTTGGTTGTTTTTTTTTCATTTTTTTAACTTTTAAATCATTTTTAAGCAATAAAATTTCAATTTCAATACCAAAAAGAAAAAACATTCAATACTTTTATTTTTTAAGAATAATTTTTTTTTGTAAAATTATAAATAAATGAATAACAAATAAGGAGTATCATTAAATATTTTAATAAGATCAAAATGGTATTTTGGAATTTTATGAAATAGTTTTAAATTAACTTTTTAATGTTTAGTAAGAATTATCGTCCGTAGATTCTTATGGAACAACTACCTTCTATTTTAATTTTGTAAACAATTATAAGTTTATTATTATATGGTTGATCGATTTTATGGCGTTGATCGGGTTAACCCGTGATCCGGTCATGTGACAGGGTCGCCTCCAGGTGTGGTTTCTTGAACACAAGTTATTTTCGGATGTTGTGACTTTATTTTTGTATTGATGAATTTGATGTTGAATTTAATTTCAGAATGGAGTTCGCGGATTAATGCTTGACGTGTACGATTTTGAAGGAGACATTTGGTTATGCCATTCCAGGGAAGGAGAATGCCATGACGTTACTGCTTTTGTATGTCCACTCAATCTCCCTGCCCTGAAATATGAAAATACTAGTATAATTTAATGACAATTAGTAGCAATGAATTAAGTGTTTAATTACGTACACGTTTGGTGAAAATATAATTCAGAGGCCAGCAATGGACACATTGGTGGAAATTGAAGTCTTCTTATCAGCAAATCCTTCAGAAATTGTTACAATAATCTTGGAGGACCACGTTCAAACCCCGAAAGGTTTGACAAAGATTTTGACAAAATCTGGATTAATGAAATACATGCTTCCTCTGTCCAATATGCCCAAAAAGGGTCAAAATTGGCCTCTTGTTAGTAAAATGGTGGCTTACAATCATAGACTTCTCGTCTTCACTTCCGACAAATCTAAAGAAGAAACTGAAATGATTGCATACCAGTGGAACTACATGGTTGAAAACAAATGTAAGAACATTTAATATTATGAGCTTACCTAGCTAGAAAATTCTGTGAATTTAGGATATGTTTGGAAGTTTGGGGGAAATATATATATAGAGGAAGATTAGCGGTAGGAAAGAAAGGGAGAGGGGACAAACCCTTCTTGTTTGGGACACAAATTTGGAAGGATGATAAAATATACTACCTATTCAAATAGTTTTTTTTTAATACTGCGCTTTAAATGAAAACATCCTTGTTTATAATTGAAGGGTTTTGGGGGATTACAAAAATCCTCCAAAACCATCTCCTCCATATTGTTTCTCTCAAACATGAAATGGAGGGTCATCTCAACCAACCCCTCCCCTCCAAAACCCAACTCCCAAACATAGCCTTAGACTATGATATTATAAGTAATATTCCGTACGTAGTAAGAACTACTGGGTAGTAATAATAATAATAATAATAATAATAATATGATTAAGTAGCGCAGTTCTAACTTCTAAATCCTTATATGTGGATGATTATTTTGTATAAAAACATAACAGATTGATCTGAGCGATAATACTTCTGTTTTGCATGCCATAATTAATATGCATTTTGCAGATGGAGATGAGGGACTTAAGGGAGAATGCAGGAACCGGGTCAATTCGTCGGCTCTAGATGACAAAACTAAAGCACTAGTTTTGGTAAACTACTTTAGGACCCCACAATTTCCCTATATATATCCAACGAAGGCTTGTGTAGATAACTCAGAGCCGCTACTGACTATGGTTGATGCATGCTCTGTTGCTGCGGGTCAACGTTATGCTAATTTTTTGGCAGTTGATTTTTACAAGGTAAAATTTTCACATATGTTACAGATTTTACAACTGTTTTGTAGTCTAAAACCACCACATTTACCATTCCTTAATTAAGATTAAAACATAGAGGGCACAAAAACGTCCGATCCGCCATTATTTTATTTATTTTATAACATAAGGCTCATTCAGTCCTAATATATGAGAGACAGGGGCATAGCCAGGACGGATGTCTACCCAGGACCGACTTTACACCAAAAACATTATATGAAAATTTTAAAAATGACAAAAGTGTGAACATAATGATTAAAATCCATTTAAATTCATTGAATCAAGTGGCTTGAAAGCAACGTATCTTATCTTTGTATTCTCGGCCTTTATAAAAGTTAAGTTTCGGTTGATAAGGTCCAAGAATCAAATAAGATCGTCTAATTTCATCCCTTTTCTCTAACGGCCAATCACTTATCGTTTCCCGTTTCCCCGGATCACGCTCAATGACAAGTGCATCAGAAACTACTTCCTCTTGAGCAGATGAGATATTAGGAGTTTCAATTGAAACATTTAACTCTTGTGTATTTGGTATGCTTGTACTGGGCTTATAAAACGAACGCAATGTGATTTTTGCCTTTTTGGAAGTGTATTGAGTAGCCATACCTATTAAAATTATGGCCATACCTATTAAAATTAGCAAAAATATAAAAAACTAATCAATATTTTATTTTAATTCATATAATTCATAAGAATAATTTAATAAATTCATAAATAGCATTTGACACTCCTAAATTTTCATTTCACAATTCAAAGCACATAAATCAATTGTGACACTATATGTCTATATCACTAACACATTTACACAAACTAAAATAACAAATAAAATACTTAAATGAAAATAAAAATCGTAAAAACAAAACAGGGAAGTTGAAACCCTTACCATGGCACTTGGCAGCTTGGCTGTGACGAGACGTCGAGACTGGACTCCTCCAGGCTCCAAGAAGTTCAACTCCAACTTAGTATTCCGCCGAGAGAGGGTGGGCGTCCGGCCTCCAGTGATGAGAACGGCGGAGAGGGTGAGCGGCGGTTCGGCGGCGTCCGGCGTATCGTCGAAGCGAGTAAGGCTGAGACTGCCTGACTTACGAGTTCTGAGGCGTGCGTGAATTAGAACTAGCTTGAGAGCTGAGTTCGTATGCGGATGTCCAGCCAGTGGCGATTCTTTTCTTTATGCAATTAGAATGTCCACTTTTCACGTTTGCCAACGCACAAATTTGATCATTAATATTTTTCATTCCTTATCGTTAAAAAAAATTAAAAAAAAAATAGATTTTGAAAATTTGAAATGTGAAGAATTTAACAATATTTATTTTTTAATTTAATTTATAAAAAATCAATAAATAAAATAGAGTCAAAATAGAACATGTGAATACTGGAAAGAGTCCAATGTTGCATTTAAAAAAAAGGAGGGAGTACTACGTATAAACTATTAAAAAAATACCCTGGGCCAGGGCCCAGACTGGCCACCCCCTCCCTCCGCCCTTGGTCAGAGACGTTTTATACTTTAATTTTAATACGATCAATTGACCGATCGAGTTCCTATTTTGAAAATAAAATATAATCAGTCCTACAGGGGCGTAGCCAGGAGTAAGAGTTGGATTAGGCCGGAACAAAGAACTTTTACAGATAAATTTTTACACAAAAACTTTTACATTAAAAATATAAGCAATTTTAGAATCTGTGCTGGGCCCTGGGTGGTTGGCCACCCCTCCACCTCCGCCCCTGGTCCTACTCATGCACTTTATCGATGTTTTAGTCCTATTTAAAATATAAAAAAGTTACTATATACCAATCTTTTGTAGCTTTGTTTTTAATTGCTTCAATATAGGCTTTTACACAATTCATGAGTAAAAGTTATAGAGATATTTGATCTGGCATTGAATATGTAGGTGATTTAGATGAAAAAGAAAAAGGAAATAAAAGGAGAATAAGGATCTTTATGTGATGATATCAGATCAAATTTTCAAAAAAAAAGTAGGCAAAGTAATTAAAATTTTCACAAAGTGAAAGGAAAATACATATTAAATGAAGGGAAGAGTATGGTCTCGATTTCTTTTAGGCCCCGTTTGGTATAAGGTAAAGTAAACACTTTCCATGCAAAGTGTGGGGAAGTAAACATTTGTTTTAGTTATTTAATGTCAACTGTAGGACACTTTTTAAAAAATATGTTACACCGTACAATGTAAAATATTTTACATGAGGGAAGGTAGTAAACTATTTTGCATCGTTCAATACCGATTATAATTAAAAACGTTCAATACCGATTATAAAATATATCACCACTTTCTTTGTCGTGCTCTGACATACGTGTTTGCCACTTTCTTTTCACCATATATCATATCCCTCAATCGTTTAGATTTCTAACCCAAAAAGAAAACCACGTTGATATCTCCACGAGGAGTTTTAAGGATGACAGATTTTCTAAAATTGCATGTTTTCAGCATTAGAGGTACAGAAGGAAATTGATAATTTGAGGTATAGAATAAGAGCACGAAGTAAATTATTTGAAGTTGAATTGTTTAAAGGATGACAGGTGCTCATTTCGTGGATTCTAGAAATGTGACTGAATGTTCCTTTCAGAAAATTGAGGGTCCTTAAGAATTTGAGGCAATTTATAGAATAAGCAGAATATAATGTTGTTGGAGTAGGTAGAAATATCATATCGGCAATTTATAGATCGCATATTTCATCACCAAACAACGTATTTTTATTTTACATGTAAAATGATTACATCTCTACACTTTACATGCAATCACTTTATATACAGAGTTTTAATATGCAAAGAACCAATCGCCCCCTTACAACTTTTGCTCATCCTAGAATAAGATTGTCGTATTTTTATTCCCAAAATAAGACTAATTACTCCTATTACGGGAACTTCCCCTATGATTAATATTTTCTTTTTGGAATAAATTGTGTATTTCAATTCATATTACTACTATCTCATAAATAAATCTAAATACACAATATAACTATATTTGATAGTCCCAATGAGCTTTCGAAGTTAAACATTAATGAATCTAATTTTGAATGTGTCGATAAAGTATTAAATTAAAGATAGTTTCGTTTAAACCAGTTTTAGTTTTAGACACTCCCAAATTTAAATAAAACATACATTACATTTAAGCGCGCAAATCATAGTAAAACAGAGACAATAGCAGATCATTTCAAACCATTGTTCTAAAACTCGTTAGGCGCTAGTCGGGCAGTTGCGGGATCGACTAGGCCTCTACAGTTAAGGCCGACTAGGCCGATTTTTAAAACAGTGTTTCAAACCAATCAAGTTTTAAACAGATCAGATCACATTAGATGGAACAAATCAGAAAAAACAATCCATGAGAAAATATTCTAGAGACAAAAATATCAATTTATATTAGATATATATAAGATAGAACTTGCTATAAGATGTTTCAATCAATTAACACGCAAATTAAATTAATGCAGATGAGTAAAGGATCCGGAGGAGGAGCATTTCGAGCTTTGGATAAGCTCAATGGACAACTAATATGTGGTGAAGATGATGTGCAATCTTGTAAAGTACACTGAAACATATCAAGAATACACTTCAATATGCCAAATTGAATTGAAGATGTAACAAAATATTGATTGAATTTTGTCTGTATGTTTTCAAGTATGTTTTCATGTTAATTAAAGTATGTTGTATGGAATTTCAAGCGTTTACCGCAATTAACGACACTTCAATATTGATAAATGTTGTTACTATGATCATTAAGTTATGGGGTGTATATATGCTGAAATAAAAGAAATAATTTCTAATGTATGACCAAAATAAGAAAGATGGACAATGTAGTTAATCAAATTTTAATGATAATAAATGTGTTCAAAGCTTACATCATAATGACGATAAAAGTATATTTGTAATAAGTTTTGATAGAGTATATGGGGCTGGACCCATGACCCACATACTCAAGGGATTAAGCACATACTACTAGCGCCCACTGCACATGGCATTTCGTCAAATGGCCATCCATCGGCCAAACTCAAAAGGATTTGGAATATAGTCCAGGAGCCCAAGAACAAAATGGGTCCTCCGTCGGCCAGACACTCCTTTGGCGCCTCCGTTAATCGAAGAAGCACAAATTGAAATTTTTTCATGAAGTTTACTCACCAGACAACGACATATCATCACACAGTTCTACTCACTTTCACCTCGAGTGCTCTCGACTCAGGTAGTGGGGGGCTCCTGATAGAGTATATACACTCGAACCTTCGGGTCTTACAACTATTGGGCTTGGACAGCAGCCCACACACGCTTACCAGATAGCATTTATATTACTGACAATTTTTATGTCATTTGTATCTACTAGATTAGCCATTTACGTAGTTGACCTATCGGGCCCATATTAGCGACCTAGCCCGTTATCTCTCTATATATATACTCCTAAGGGGAGGTCTTGTAAACCTAGAACACAACTCATTCATAATCAACACATTCATCTTCTCCACATCTCTTGCTCAACCTCTCCTATAATTATATATGCTTGGATCCCCATAATCTATCAAGTTTAATTAAATTTTTATTCAAAAGTTTTGTGTGAATAATCTATTCTATTTATATATAAGAAAAGAAATAGTTCATCTAAAGACAATTTTATCCTTAATGAATCCTAGGTGTCAAACTCTTCTTAATTCACTCTTTTACTCTAACAATGCCACGTGTCTATTTTTGCTTCAATGTACGAGACTCTCCATGGACTATAGAAAGGAGCAGCCGTAGAGATGCATTGGTGGGACCCAAACTATAAAAAATCTCAATTTGTTTCTTTAAAGTGCTATAACTTTTTCATTTTTGTTCCAAATTTTACAAAAAATATATCAAAATTCATAACTTTTTGTGATCATTCATATGAGATCAATATCGAATAGGTAAAAATATTTTTTATTAACAGTCTCTATAATTACGCTTGAAATTATCTATATGCATTTTATAATCTATTTGCGAAAAGGGGCAAATAAGGCCACGTACTAACCCAAAAAGGTCAAATAAAGCCTTATTTAAGAGGCATTGTCCGGCCATCGCCATTTGGGGTGGTTTCCGGTGGAATTTTTTGATGACATTTTTTTAGCATCTTATTCAGTAAGTCTAGTTTACTCATACCAAATTTCAGTTAAAACTTCAATCGGGAAGACATTCAAATGAATTCTTGAAGATAACTGTGCAGTTAAAAGCGCAGTTATCTTCAAGAACTCATTTGAATGCCTTCCCGATTGAATTGTTAGCTGAAATTCGGGATGAGTAAACTAGACTTAATGAATAAGATGGTCAAAAAAATTCATAAAAAAATTCCACCGAGAACCACCCCAAATGGCGAAGGCCGGATAGAGCCTCACAAATAAGGCCTTATTTGACCTTTTTTTGTTAGTACGTGGCCTTATTTGCCCATTTTCCCAATCTATTTTGTTGTCTGAATTGGATGAAGTTACTGTAACTATTCATTATTAGCTACTTTTTATATAATGTTTTCTTTATTTCATTAATAAAAGTATTTTAAATTAGATTTATCTATAAATCAATAGATTCAACTAATTCAACTAATTTTCTGGTTTACGTGGATGATCTCATTATTTCTAGTATTGATAGTTTTGCTATCACCAGGTTGCACGTAATTCAAAAATACATAATTCAAAAATCTCTTCAAATTACGTGGATGATCTGATGGGTATTCTTTGGGCATTGAGGTTGCATGTAATTCTACTAGTCTTTTTCTCACTCAGGGTACAAATGCCCTGAATATTATTCCTAATACCGGATTACTTGGGGCTAAACCTGCCACTACCCCTCTTGAACAAAATCATTCCCTTGCCAAAGCTTAGGGTGCCCTTCTTCCTGATCCTGAGGCTTACCGTCGGCTTATCTATTTGGTCATCACTCGTTCCGATTTGGCTGGTGTATTTCATATTCTATCTCAATTTTTACAGGAAGCGCGATATGATCTGAGATGTTGCGCTTCGTGTTGTCCGCTACTTGAAAGGTTATCTGGGACAAGACATTCTTCTATGAGCTGACGGGGATCTTACTTTGATAGACTGGTGTAATTCTGATTGGGCAGCTTTCCCTCTTACACGCAAGTCACTGTCTCGATGATTAGTCTTTCTTAGGCATTCTCTCATTTCATAGAAAACTAAAAACAGACCAATGTATCTAGATCCTTTATTGAGGCTGAATATTGCTCTATGGCAGCAGCTTGTTGTGAGCTTAAGTGGCTGAAAGCTTTGCTCCTCAGTCTTGGATCCATCATACTTAAGCTATTCCTCTACTACCACAGCCATTTGCGCTTCATATCACCCGCAATCCTATTATTCAGGAGTGTACCAAACATACCGAAGTTGACTATCATTTTGTTCGTAATGCTATCACCAACGTCGTATTTTCCGAGTTATGTTCGCTCTTACTAAAGCTTTGAGAACTGCGGGAGGTGGGTGGGTGGGGGGGGGGGTGTTTGAATATATTTTTACTTTGTTTACAATATACGATTGTATTACATTCACAGTATATCTTTCCTTTTTGGCAGTTTCCTTGGATTAGGATTCTTAGTTATTTTGTTTCTCAATTCTCTGGTATTTAATTAAAGCACACACATGATATAAAATACTTTGAATCATTACCATTGAGCGTAGTTATATGTGTTCATAAGATGTGCTCACATTCAGAACATTGAGTCGAACCTTGCCTTGGAATCTGGTAAATAGAGAATAATCAACATAAGATTGAAGAAATCCATAATCCTTCATGGCACGAAAAAGTTTTGCAAACCAGTAGCGACGAGCTTGCTTTACGTCGGGAAGAGATTTCCGAATATGACAAACCAAAACAGAATTAGAAGGAAACTGTGCGGCCTGCATATAATCTTCTTCATTGAGATCTCCGTGTATGAAGGCGTTATGAACAAGCATTTGACAAATTTCCCATATTCAAATGCAGCAATAGCCAGAAAAGCATAAACAATCACCATTTTGGCAACCGGCGCAAAGGTTTCTCTGTAACCAATGCCATCAACTTGCTGATTACCATAAATAATCAGGCATGCTTTGAAGTGTTCCAATGTCCTATCAGCGTAAAACTTTGGTTATGTTTGGCATGACAAGCTGAAAAGATAATTTTTTTTGCAATTATGAGTTGAAAAGCTTTCAGATGGAATAGACGGTAGCTATTTCATGAATGCTACATGTTTTAAATAGCCATGTTGGAAGAACTAGCTTTTATAAGTAGCTGAAATTATAAAATTACAATTAAGGGCAATGATAATAATTACTCCCTCCGTCCCCCTTATATTGTCCCGTTTTACTTTTTCGGGAAGACGGGAAGTCCCACTAATATTGGCTCATACCATATTTGATAAAGTTTGTGTGGCTCTAAATCATTCTTACTTTATTCTTACTTTATCAATTAATATCAACCACACAAACTCACTTTTCTTAGTAACCGTGTCACCCTCTTCTGTCCCAATATTAAAGGGACGGAGGTAGTGTTAATTAATGAAAAAATAGAGTACATGCACATAGCTAGTTTCAACTTAAGGAAAATAAGAAAGTCTAGATTTTTTATATCATAATTAGAATATTCGGATTTTTAGGTGCTTGGGATATTTATAAAATAACATAACGTTAATAATACGGAGTAATAAAATAAAAATAAACGTGAAATAGGTATTCTAGAAAAGTGTCAATTATATCTTAAAAAAGGTCGTCATTAAAAAAAAAGTCATCATTTCTCACCGTAAAATATAGTTAATAATAGAACACAAAAATATTTAAATGTAACGAAGCAGAGTGCAACTCATACAAGTGTTATTCTCATATGCGAGTGAGTACCATTCCAAATTAAATTGGCAATACTATTGCAGACTTCCTTCATCTCAATTGATGTATTAGTACATGTAACATCACTTGAATTTAATTTGTCTCTTGTGCATCCTCGAGGTCCTCGTTTAAGTCGTAGTCTGAATTATTTTCAATGAAAGTGAAAAGTAAGTCTTCACTCGAGTTTTCCGAATATAGTTATATATGAAATGCAAAGGCTGCCACTATAATTTAAGAATCAATATACATGTTTATGATGTCAAACCTTGACACTCATGAATCATTTATCACGAAAGTATACATTTTTAAAGTATACATTTTTTCTTGAGAATCCATTCAAACGAAGATTTTTGTGGCAGCAGACATGGAAGTTTCTTCTCATCCTACCAAAGCGGTGACTTTGGCACGGTTCACATGGGAAACCAAGATAGAAGCAAGATCGTTGGGATAGGAGACATTGTCCTGACAATAAGCACCGGATGCAAGCTTGTTCTCAAAGATGTGAGGCATGTCCCGACCATGCGCCTCAATCTTATCTCCGCTGGAAAGTTAGATGATGTTGGTCTGATGAACCACTTTGGTGAAGGAAAATGGAAGCTCAACAAAGGAAATCTAGTCACGGCTCGAGGAAATAAGGAAGGATCCTCGTATGTAATGCAAGCTAAACTTTGCAAAGGGGAGGTAAACGTAACCACTGATGACATGGAGGTATGACATAAATGACTTGCGCACATCCGTGAGAAGGGCCTCCACATACTAGCTCGGAAGTAACTCCTCCCGGACATGAAATGTAATTCACTTGATCCTTGTGTACATTGTTTAGCTGGAAAACAACACAGGGTTGCTTTCCAAAGATCTTTTGATCCACCCACAAGGAGAAAGAACATCCTCGACCTTGTACACACCAACGTGTGCTC